TGGAGCATAATCAAGGCTTTTATCTACGAGCATTTTCACATTTTCCGTCGGTTGGTGCTGCAGCTGCTGGTGGTGCATTCCTCGCGTCGTAATGCCGAAGGTTCTTTTTAATGCTCGCTATATTTATCCTGAATTATTTAGGCTTTGTGAGTTGGTACTTGTTATCGCATCCAAGCACTTCCATTTCTATTTGAGAAATCCGTTTTGTTTCCTTTTTCCCACCAGCCATCGGTGTTAATTTCCCTACGAAGCAAATAAATAGTGGTATTAATGCAGGGAAACTAGTTCCATAAAAAATAGTTTTAGAATGGATATTTAAAAAAAAGAAAAGCGTAATTAAGTTTGTTTGCATGGGTTAGTTACCATCACGATGTCTTAATAACCTTATCAAAGTATACACGCCTTCTTTACCTCACCGATATCCCAAAGGTAATCTAACTTCCCATGGGGTGTCAAACCTTTAGAAACAAGGCACAATGGTTTATTCTGCATTTATTTCTGTCAAAGTGAAGATTCCGTCTGGTGTAGTAAGACGCGCTTGATATCCATTCACTCTGGTCAGTGGTTGGTTTCGCCACGGCTGACTAGACGCATGTCACATTTCAAGGTAAAGTCTGAAATTTGCTTACGTTGTGAGAAGACCGGAAGGGAAAACTATTTTGGTAGGTAAGTTATCATTTTACCTAGAGTATTTAATTTGATATCCAAATGCATCTTAAAAACCGCCTTTTATCACCTTTCACATTTTCTGTGCTCTATATTCAAAATACTGTATTGTGAAGATGCCGTCATTGGAAGGTTCAATTCCTTGCATAAAGTTGGCAGCAACTTCTAGCTTTCATTCACACCGAACATGTTTTTTGCATCCTATGCTGATTGTAGATATGCACTGCGCTTTACCGTGTTGATGTAATGCATTGTTACCACATTTGGTCGTTAGGCAGATGCATGCAACTTTCTGTACATTCAACATCGAAAGGTATTAGGTAAAAAAGGAGGAAGCGTTATGTTACTAACAATAGTGACTAAAATATCTATAGATGCCAATTTTAAGTAACACCTTAAGCGGTGCCCTTGTGTGAACATTTTTATTTCTGCAGTGAGCGTTTTCCTCTTCTGTTTTACCTACCGAATTTATTCACTATTCGTTTTACTTCAGCCAAAGAGAATTATCGCTTGTACATGACACTCAATATGCCTACACCAATAGTTTATTCAAATACAATTTAGCAAATTCTATTTGTTAAATAGTTTGATCAAAAATATACGAACTATGGTTTCTTGCAACTTTGCGCTATCTCTGTACTATTGAAAACGTTATAGATACAGAAACGGATCGGACTCGATTTCCTCAGTTTCAGCCGTGGGGTTAAATGAATTATTTCTTTGCCTTAAGCATGAATCAATCCATTCATTTAGAACAAATGACGTTTTAAAGTGATTATACTACAGACGCACGAACGTTCAACGGAGTTTTTCAATGCAACTTTCGAATCTTGTGTTTCAGTACAAAGTACCTGTGATGTGCACCCTAAGCCCCACATTGTGTCTCATTCCACTGTCTCGCATCTAATTAACACTCTCTTATGCAATAAATATACAAAAAATGATATTAAGTAGCGACCTAACATGAAGTTACAACCCATGAGAAAATCCTCAGTCGAAATGCGTCCTGCTGGGAATTGTTGGTTTTGCACTGTATTTTTAAGGAATTTTTGACTTTTGCTTAAACTCTTCGTGATAAAGAGAAGTAGGACTCGTCAACATTGCATAGACTAGAATTACAAATTTGCATTTCACGCGCCAACGTCACCTGACTGATGTACTAACTGATCAGATAGGTGGAATGGCTTATAAATGTGTGAGATCAGGGATATTACTCAAGATGAACCAATATAAAAATTTAGAAAATAATCATAAAATCTCGTCAACGCTACTTTTAAAAAAGTTTGGTACAGAGGTCAATGTTACATTCTCAAGCTCAAATTTAATGAGAGATTTGTCATATCCTGATTTAACTCAACGAAGACCAAGACAAGTCGCAAATCTCCTGCCGTTTATCAGCAGGAAACAATTAAACGCTACCGATGTGTGCATTAAATCTTGAAAATTTTTAATTTTGTTGCACTTACCAATTTCCTTTATTCTTGGAAATATCCACTTCGGGCTTAAGATTCTTTACGATAAATATCGAGTTCGAGACATGCAGAATATCGTTGTCGATTTATAATTTCTGTAATTTTACTTTTAATTGCGGTTCGGTTGTTCACAATATTTAGAGCGGTGTAATAAGAGCCGAGAAGTGGTTTTCGGTGCCATAAATAAATTGGGTTTTAAAAAGGGCTATTCCAAATTCTGTTCCACAATTTTGAAAGGCGTAATCATTAATATACTGTAACGCATTCGTTGTTTGTTTAACTCTCTGCTTTGGTAATGGAGCCTCTTGGGTTCTCCGCAAATGTACTTTCGCCGGGTGGACTGGCCCATAGGCCATGCTAGTAGCGCCAATCCCTTCTGCGTCCATAATGCATGTTCTGTCCCAGTATTGCGTTTTTTGGAGTCCTCAAGGAAGTACAGAGACTGCAATCTTCCCTTCATTATTTGTATGTCTGGTATCATTCGTCACTTATTTTGTTTTCTAATATTTGTGAAATAATAGGCCAAAGTTATCTCTAAAACCTTAAAAATATGGAGTGGTTTTCTAACTTCCTATACTTTACCAACATAAGTGGGAAGTTCGTGCTTCACAAACCGGATGTTTTCCACTATAATACATACCTTTGAAATCTGTATGCAATGTGTGTTCATGTGAAGAGTTTCTGGTACCTGAGCCCTATCCCAGTGTGTCCGTTAGAATCATCTAGTCTGAGGACGCACTCCAAACCCTTCCTCTCTGTGTAACCTCTGCTAATAGAGGAATTGGAGTACATTCCTTTTTTTTTCACACTGACAATGCCGCACTTTAAGCAAGCTCTTTGGTAAAGAGTGTGGTTTAGGTGGATCTTATAAGTATATTAGATGGTGGGAAAGTCGTTTGCATAAAAAGATATCGAAAGTGAGCAAGTTCCAATTTAACATGTAGAACTTCAAATAAGTTGACTCTAAATCAACTCTATTTCAGTCGGATTGGTAGCGTATGTTTTAAATGTTTTTCAGGCAACGCAATCTGAGACAAAGTATTACATTGTAACACTGCAAAGTAGCTACGTTGATGATAAAATTGCGTTTGGCCTTTATTGCAATTAATATTACACCCAGAAAGAACAATCGTCTTCTAAAATTACCACTGAGTCAAAAATGTCTCTTTCAAACGCCCACCCAAAAAATGGACTTTTAAGTTCTGGTTTGTTTTTGCATGCATTGTTTTCTGCTCGCACTCATAACGTCCGAGTTCTTCTTTGCCTTGGTGCCAAACTACCTGCCAATTTGGTGTGACCTATTAGAACTTTAAGAGATGACTCGAGGCACCAAAAGCAAGGAATTTTGCAACGACATAGCGACTTGGTATATTTTCTTAATATAAGTGTAAAAACGAGCACCAGTCCTCGGTAAACACTTAATTAGATCAGTAACCATGGCACTAAGTGAAGTCAGGGTGGTCACTGATGCTAATACATGGCCAAAAATAAGTGTAAGGAAACTCATGACCAATTAATTGTTTAAGCCAGTTATTGTTCTCTACATCAACAGAAATTTTTCCCTCGACTTTAAAGTTTTATTGAAATTGTTGAGTTAAAGACATAACAGTCGTTGAAAAGGCCCATAAACACGTTTCCGTTTTTAGCAAGTCATATCCATTTGTAGAAATAGATAAATTTTCGATTGTGCAGGTATATAAATAACTACACAAACAAGCTACCCACCAAATCTTTGTTTATATTTATGAAAGGGAGGCTTGTAGCTCAAGGCCTGGAGTCTCGGATTTCAAAAGATGTGGGGTTTGCCCCATATCGAACGTGGTTAAACTTACCAGACGTTTAATACGTAAGTTCAATTGTATCCAGATCACCAGAGCTTTACACTACTGCATTTGCCATAAATGTATTGCCTGCGCTTTCTGCTTCCACTTCTGTTTATTCTGAAACCGGGGAACCTGACTCCCCACGTTTATCATGACATATACGTCCTCCTCGCATTCCTTATATTTTTGCTTGAGCACAAGCTCTGCAACGTTTGTACTGTAATATTACTAGCTTATGTGCTCTTACTCTGCATAAACCCGGTGCCCAGCCAATGTACCCTCCCCCCGTGTTTCTCCCCCCAAGACTGATGTGCGAGTCTAGTAACAACCACCCATTTTTACCAATTTTTTACCTATTAAAGGAACATTCTGATTGCCTCTTTTGTTGATTCTGATTTAGTTGGGTCCATCGTTCCATTTTTGGGCATGTGGTGTCTGAATTCTATTGATTCAGTAAAACATCACGTAGCCGTCCCCTAAAAGTAGGAATATTGTGGGAAAATACTCATCCCATACCACATCTTTATTGCTGATTAGTAGATATGATGTTTTTTAACATTTTGCTATGGTGCCGCCTCAAGAATGCAAGCTACCCTTCAATCGACCTTTGTTCTGTATCGCACTGAGAACAAGTGGCTTGTTCTGATCTACCTTTTTTCATAAGATTTTCGAGATTCTGGATCCCAAAGCCTAAAACCACTACCTACACAGGGGTCACACCTCCAGTACTAGCTTAGCTCTGAACAAAGCTGTAAATATTTGATCCTTTCAAGAATAGTTGGTTTGAGACTATTGGTGCAACCCTACCTTAGGAGGCATTTGAAGTGGGTTGCTATTAAACTTCAAATCTCTTTACCAAAGCAGCGTACTTCTTCCGCAGGCTTTATTACTTACCAAAAAACTCGTACTGTATAAAATTGACACGCGTCCGATGGGAGGCGTGTAAGTAGGGTCTAGGGGCTGGCACTCGAAAAATCGTTGGACACTGAGTGAGGAAGGAAAGCACATGAGTAAGTAGGCATTCGTTTGTTTGTTCGTTTCAAACAAGTCCAAAGCCCTCTGTGTTCTCGATGGCTTGCATAAATTTCGTCCTCAAAATCTCCATACTACTGTACTTGGGCAGGTCAAGAATATTGTAGCAAGTATGAGCTACGGGCAAAAAGTCATCTCCACTGCTGTTTGGCTGGATTGTGATCTAGATGAAAACAAAATGGGAGAAGTAACACATCGTGTGTATTTACGGATACATTTGGACTTCGATTAAGGAAATCTACTTTGTAATGCGATTCATCCGTCTCTTCGTGAGTACAGCAATTAATGAATCAGATTAACTCCAATCGTAAAAGTTTTAAAAGCTTGAGAAACAGCAGTGATTCCGTGCCTTTGAAAAACTACTTATTTACTAAGGTCATGGGACCTTTCTAAATGTAATTCGTTGATAAGGTTCAAATGTCACATCATTGGTTTTCATACACTAACACAACTTTTGGGTGAAAAAAAAGTAATGCCGAAGCTGTGAAGTGGACTTCACTAAGTGAGAAAAGATTAATGAAACGGAGTCTTTTTCCACCCCTATGGAGGATGATCAGCCCAAAATGAACCGCTAGCTATTAGATTCTGCTTTATGCTAAGATGAGGAGGTCAGGCAACTTACCTTGATTCCAGGAAGGCCTTCGATTGGCACGCGATCACAACCGGTGAGGAACCGCAGGAAATTCTTCTTCTGCTTCAGGTTGCATTGGTTCAAGAGCACCTCCCAGAACCACTTGATGACTGGGTGCTGATCCCAGTACTCGCCCTGATAGTTGGTGTTTTTTCGCAGATCCTGCCAATCTATGTCGTCCGAACCCACCACCATACTCTTGCAGAACACAAAAAATCGAATAACCTCCTACCGATGGGGAGTACTTTTTTGTGTTAAGCTATGAGCACATGTATTTAGAATTTCACTTTCTCACGTCACCTTCTGTGTAGCATTGAAAGGAACGCTGCGAAGGTGTAATATTTTCGCGTTAAGCCTACGACAGCTAAGGCTCCACCGGCGAAACAGTTCATGACCCCAAGGTTTTGATTACAAGCGTGCCGTCGTATACAAAATCCCTAGAATCGGTCAGATGATCCAGCATCCTGACCACACAGAGCCAAAAAGCCCCGAATATACTTCTATTGTCTCGCCAACTATTGGGTTTTAAAGCCTTAAATGGCATCATTGAGATTAGACTGACTCCACTCTCCTAACCTCAAACAGTATGAATGAGGTGTTTAAATGTAAGTGATACGTTTTCGCGGAATTCTTATCAAACTTAGCAGGTGTCAAGGCAAACTTTCAAACAGTGGAAGACTGAAAGCGAGACTGCTTGCAGAGCAAAAGCTTACCTTGAGGGTATGGCATTTAGAATGGCATCAAACCTGTTGAACTTACGTGTAATTCACTAGGTTGGAACATTTTTATTACATAGCCCGAGCAGACATTGAAGAAGCCGGACTTGAAGGCTTCGAAAACGGATTGGCAGCTCTTGTTGAACCTGAAATTGAGGTACATCTCCACATACTGTTGCTTGTTTTCCTGAGTTACCACCACTTCGCCACCCGAGGGAATGAGAGGAATGCGTTCGATTGCGCCATAGTTATCCACTGCTATCTGCAGTGCAAAAGAGGGGACTTAAGGTCGCTGCTTTCGACTCGCGTGAAGTACGCAATAACCCCGAAGGGACGATGATTTTAGGCAGCTTTCAAATGCATACATTGAGACTTATGTTTACTGTTAGTGCACATCAAGGGAGTACTGAGAGAGTTTGCGGTAGTGCTGATAACCGATGGAGACTAGTGACACATAAATATTCACACTCTATTTACTTCTATTTAATGCCTAAAAACTATGATATTGGGGAGCTGAATAAGGGCTCTGTTCTGTGATCTTTAGGTCACGTGGCACATCACCAAAGTAAGACAAAGTGTGCTAAATCGCAGAGGGAGACTAGTTTGATTCCACTTTCTCAGCGAGAAGGATAAGAGAGAAGCAGGGGAATCTTACGATCATTTGAAAAAAAGAGGCTACAAAGTACGTCAAAAGACCACTTATGGTCCTGTTTAAAATTTCGTTAAACTTGACAACTTTGCTATAAGTGCAACTTGTACTTTCTATAAAAACAAAGCCTTAACTTCAGAATCCGTTACTGCTTAAAAGAAATCAGAATTTAGCGGCCACATCAAGGTAACATTTTTCCAGACAGCGCCACGTAGTAGTAGCGTCGTAGTAAATGGCTTTACCTCAAATGTAAGGCAAAAGGCATCCTCCAAATCGGCCTCTTCGTAGTCCAGTAGCATTTGCAAGGACTTCGCCACCACAGGATCTAATTCCTTAAGGTCCTCCAAAGTGGGCTCCTCACCCAGGAGCTTTTTGAACAATGCCGTGGGAAAGCAGAGGTCTATGATGATAGAGTTGTAGATGGCTAGGCCACATAGTGCACCGACCATGTTGAACATTGATGGCGACTCCATGTTCTGTGAGAAAGGATTCAGCAAAAGTTCGGGATAATTGAGCACTCAAACATCCATGGGTCTTCATGCAATGATCACTCCTAAGTTTCCCGTTACCAACCTAATGTGCGTAGGTAGTTAATTTTTGGTTGTAGTACGGTAACCGAAGGTGTTTGTACGCTGAATAGACTCAAAATCACCAAGCTATCCCCTATCAATGTGTTCCATCGCGAGTATAGCACTAAGAAAACGGGAGTTAACCATGTGCGCAATCCTTGCGCCCAAAGCCTTGAAGTCGCGATTTCATGAAATTATTCAAATCGTACATAAAAATTCTTATATATTTTAAACCATTCAATTGCAACGACATTACCACTGATTTACTTGCATTAGATGAACTGCGATATATTTAAATGAGTAGATTTCAGTGTTTATCTTCTCTCTGTCAGGTAAAAAATCTCTTTTCGAAAGGAATTAGCCAAACAATAGTTTTTATGGGAGTCAGGTTGCTAAACAAATACTCGACCATCCCAAACTGATTGACACGAGATAGGCCATATTTCGGTCAGACTTACGTTTTCGTTAAACCATAGCATGCGCGACTCGGGATACTCCTTGAACATGCCATACACCGGGTTCAGGAGCTCACGCATGATCAAAATAAAGAACTCCTAAAAATTTAACCAAGACCAATCAGAGATCATTAAATTGTTGAAAACTTTAAGGCTATTTTTCATTTGAACTCACCTTCAGCACTCCACCATCATCAATTGCTTCTTCGCCTGTGAAACGCACCTGAAGTTAAAAAAACACGGGGGCGGGAGGTGAGTTTTGACCTATTTTATCTTTCTTGACACATACGTAGACTGGGATATGCGCCTTTTCTTGATTCTTCCGCTTCTGTTTTAGGCGACATTCTATCTCATCGCAAAACCAGAAAAGGGAATTAATAACAACCCATCTTAAGTACTTGCCACTTTCATGCTCAATTCATTCGTTTTCTAAGGTTTATTGAGACGGGTTTACCATTCGTTAACCTCGAGTGAAAACGAGCTTTTTATCCCTTCTGGTCCAAGCAATTCCTTTAAGATGATTAAAGTACCCCCAAACGTCACTGAACACTGCAAATATATTTAGCTAAAAATCAACTGTTTCAAAGTTCTACACGATTGGCCTTAATCCACCGTGGGGGAAGAAAGATTGGCTACAATAGGCGACCAGAGGCTCACCTTGAGTGGCCGTTTTAGATCAGCAGGTGAGTGCATAGCCAGGTGGTCGAGAGTATCGGAAATGAGACGGGAGCGAGAGACCTCAAAGATGACATAGCTCTGTACAAGGGGGCCGAGGATTCGGGATAGATGGGGGCCGAGGATAACAGAAGAGGCCTTCTCCATAGCCAAGTCTTGACTCAACTTAGCCTCCGTCTCCAGCATTTTCGCCTTGCACGCCACGTCGAAGACAAAGGGGTAGTCGAAGATGGAGAAGTCCTGTGGAGGCAGGCAAGAGAAGGGAACATAAAACAACATGCGCATAACCTTCTGAATATATGCGAGGTTGATGTCCATACACACCCCTTTCAATAATGCCTCATCAGTAGCGTCTATCCCCAAGAGAATACCTCTCTTCCTGTAACAAATCTCTTCACCTATTCTACTGGGTGAGCCTATCAGCCTGTCGAATAGAATTGGAGGGGGAGAAGGGAGGGACCAAGGTGTAAAACGCCCTTCTTCAACTGAAGAGGCGAGGGATCAAACCAAGGGGATGACAACAATGTGCAGGTGAAGAGGAGGCAATAGAGTGATAATGCTATGAACTCGGAAGAGAAATGATCGCAAATAACTAGACGTGGACTTCTGTATGAAGGATAGCTGATGAGTGGTCATGCCCAGCGTACCTGATTTTGCAGTGGCTTGGGGGGCACTGACTTCGAACGCCAGAATCGAAATCTGCGCTAAAAGACAACAGAGCCGAGTCAACTAATCCGGCTACTTGTGCCTCGAGCAGCGCGTTCGCTCTACTGGAAGGATGGGGAAGGGAAGGGCTTGGGACAGAAGAGATGTCGAGGTTAAACCTAGTGTTATACTTGTGAGATAAGGCTGCGTAGGGAAAACGACAAGATTGGGAGGTATTAGGATCGCAAAAAATTACCGAAAGACCTCTCAAGCCCTGGGGTGTGGCCCGCTTTAATGCGAACAAAAGTTCATTTTTAATAGAGGTGATGCGTAAGACAAAATGCAGGATAAGGTTATTCTCCTGGGGCGTGACTCACCGGGGGAGGCGACTGCCCAGAGTAGGAGTTGATAGCCTGAAAAGAGAGCAAGGAGGGAATATAGTGAGAACGCAAGAAAAGCGGATGATGTCCAGGGGAGCATTGAGAGCACAATGAAGTACCTTTTCACGAGAGTGGCGCTGAACTAGCCAATTGGCGAACTTTTTCACGTCAAATCTGTCTGTCAGTTCGGGAACGTAGAAAGACGTGTAACTTATCGGCTGGACTCTCTTTTCATTTATCTAAAATAAGGAAGCTTTCTGACAGAAAAAGTAGGGGAAGAATAGTGTTTTCTAACTGAATAAACTCACTTCTCGAAGACGTTTCATGAGCTCAAGGGTTGCGTGAATGCCACTTATCAAATTGAAGCACTAGAAAGAGTTCATATAAATAGTTTAACAGCCTTGTTATAGCGTATGCCACATAAATTAATACAAGGGGGCCAGTTTTATATAACACAACGTTGAGGCTAAAGGTGATCAAAAGACGATGAAATTCATAAGCTCACTTTCATATAGTTGAAGGTTAATTTAAACTGTGCCTATTCAAAACATTTAAGTAGGTCACCGAAATGCCTATCGGGCTGTAAAAAAACTCACCGCGGTTTCACCTGCATCTTGCTTCGAGGAGCAGAGATAGGCAACAAAATTGTTTAGGTTCTGAATGACAAAAACACCATCACCAAATGAGACATTCTTAGCGTGAGTGAGAAGTAGTGTGGGATCAGTAGACGACTCACAGCGACTAAGCGACGGAAAAACCGTGGCTGGAAGCCTTTGAACCAGGAATCTATGAGGCGAAAAATAGGGAATTAAAAGTTATTGGCATCTGTGCATTTAATAAGTGGATTTTGAATCCATCGCATCAGGCGTGTTTGTAGGATGCTTGCCGAAGTAACCGTAAGAATGCGGATAATATTACGGGTGAACGCCGCGGCAGTAGTACAATTGTCCTTGACTTTCGAAAGTGCATTCCCATGAAAATTTGATACCACACTGATGCACTTTTGCTATTTTGAGGTAAGATGTCGTTGACGCATTGGAAATAAGGGCAACAACGCGTCGACTTCAGACTTGAAATCAGTGACATCAACATTAAGTAATAATTATGGGAAAATGAATAACGGGAGAAAATGCGGTAAGGATGACCTTCAAACAATCAAATTCTAGATTTGAGTACAAACCTGAGTGAAAAACAAGTCCTTGATTAGTTCGCCAAAGCAACTAATCCCAATATTCAGCAATTACGAACTCCTGTAAACAACGTGACAGCGTTGACAACTGGAGCAGCCTTCATAGGCAATCTACGAAACTAGATGCTTTATATAGCATTTTAAAACAACTCGACCACAACATTCCACTGCAGAAAAAGTTATCATTATGTTTTGGGTCTTTAGCTGTTTAATTCCATGTGAATTAACGCATGGATTGAGATCTTATGAGATGGTAAAGACGTAGTAAGCACACCACCATAGAGTTTGGTAAATTCAGTTGTGAAGAAATAAAACAGTTCAATTTTCACTCCATTGTAACTAGAACTAGTCCAGGATTAAGATCAAATCTGCGGAAAGTGGTTAAATGGCAGCCGAATCTCAAATCAATCGCCACTTAAATGTGCATTTCGAAACGGAAGTGCACCCTACCTAGCACGGAGGACGGCACACCTTCCAGCCGACAAACAGCGCGACAGAAGCTGGCCAGAACGAAGCCTGCAGCATAACCAGCCAATACGGTGGGATACCAATTAAAGGGCTCGTCGTTCTGGAAGGTGACAGGCGGTGGGGGAACGGAGGTGTCCACTGTCACTATCACCGCGTCTGTCCGCGGCGTCTCGAGTAGCGGAGAGACGGCGAGAAAGACAAAGGCACGCAGACACTCAAGGTCGGGAAAGTTACGACGCGGGCGCGAAATCACCTCCACCAGGGGTCGAATAAGACGACGAGCAGCGTTCGGTGGTGCTGCCAGGAAGAGTTCCTCCTGCAATTCGTGTGCGGCGTCCAAGTCCATCCCGTGGTCTGCCCGTCCTATGTTGTAGTGGCTTCGATTCGGGCTATCGGAAATAAAATGAGTCAACTGTGCCATTCTCTGCCATTTCAAGACCGGATTCCTAATTTAACTCATAGTGCGACTTTAATATCCGTTCAGGATGGCTACTGAATCAATACAATAGCACAGATGCATCCATATGCCCACATGCAGTTTGCCTTTTGAATACCGCAAAGAAAAGATGAAAGGTGGTTTGAGCCGACGAACAATTGGATCACAAGCAAGAATAGTAAGCGGTAGCAAAAAATGGTGAAATTTGTAGATAAGAAAACCGGTGAGATGATTTGGAAATGATAAATGGAATATAAATCGCAGTGACGAGTATGAAATGGACGTATACAAGCTTTATAGGAGAATAATGGAACACGTTCGGAAACAAGAAATTACATTTGTCATAAAGATAAAAAGCATTGGGAAATGGACCAATTTAAAGCCCTATTTAGGCGATGTTTAGCTGTGAAAAATGTAGGAAAGCCCCTAACGTTATAGGCTAACAAGATCTATTGTTAACTATTTTATTTGAAAACCATGTGCGCTTTACCGTATTCCTCTGCGATTATTAAAGCAAAATAATCAAATACTACTGTCTTGGCGCTTCATTTAGTTCCTACACCTACTTTAATTGCTCTACGCCAAGCCTTAAACTACGAAAGGGAATTAAAATCCTGGCGCCCACTTTCCTGTTTACGTAATAACACAAACAATGAAAGCGAATGTAGGAATAAGGTTAGCAGACTTTTAACCTTCCTGACAAAACAGAACACATCACCTGGAAGACCAGATGCAAGATGGACGATGTATCACGATTACCAAATAACACCGATATCAAACGTAGTACAGCTCGATCCCAATAGTCGAACACTAAAAGTGGATAATAGCCGATACAGCTTCTTCGCAAAATATAACGACTCATAGTGATGACAGGTGAGTGATTCAGTGACGAAGAAAGAGGCCTACTGATCGACCAGGAGATGAGAGACAAGGTAACCAATTCGCTAAGATTTACAACCGGTGTAAAAAGTGCTCAAAACTAGATAAATGGCAACAAGAGAATGGAAGGAAAAGCAGCCAAAGTAGTCCCTTTGTAAAAAAAGAAATTCTCACTTTCTAACCAGGGGACAGGGAAATTAAGGCATTGAGTTTGTCAAATAATTCAGACATCAAGCGAGGTGCAACAAACGCAAAAGTTAGAGAAGTGAAAGTGAATAGCATCCAGTACAATGACTTTTGCAGCAGTAAAAAAATCCCATTATCAAACAAGAGATTTGAAACAGGAGGGTAGATAAATTACGATGGTTAAATGGTTTAAGAGGTAAACCTAGCAGGGCTTCGTGTAAACATTGGAGCAATAAAGGCTACAGACAAAATAATCAATGTGGCGACTCCGATAGATGAAATGATCATCCATTACTGCAGCAGTGGAAAGAGGAGCTTACTTGTCGACAAGGAGGCTGGAGGCGAGACAGCCGATGGAGCCGAAAGCAGACTCAAGTCGGCGGAGCGCGGTGTGCATGGAGTAGGCCTCAAGACTGTAGGTGGCGTCGCTAATGTCCGCCGCAGTAGCGTCCGTACTGGAGAACTTGCGGCTAGACCGGCGGCGCATCAGATAAGGGTGCTCTGCAAGGCCCTCTACGTAGCGCCTCATCAGGGGTTCGCTAAAAGTACCAATGTTGCTCAGGAGGCAAGACCGCCACTTTCGAAAGTCTATCGGGGTCGGACAGGCAAGCTGTGTGGAGGAGGAAGGAGGCAAGTAAAAAGAATGTAAAAGTTTTCGTGCCAGACAAAAGTAGCTATGGTGACCCCATCCATGCTTTAAGACATAAACACTAAGCATGTACACGTGCAACGCAATAAGCAGGTCCAACTATTTCCTTTGTCACATGTAACTCACAAAAGCAACCTTTCAGAATAGAGCCCTTTTAATTTAATTGGTCCAGACGGTTGACTAGATACGTCCCAATACAATACAAAGTCCATTGAAACCACATGCATTTAGTTATGTTTGTTCTCTCGCTACCAGGCTGAAGCTTTTTACAAGATACATTTTTGGTATTCCATTCAATGTATTAGAAAGCTAACGGCAAATAATCCAGTATCTCCTACTTGAAAATCAAGTAGGTGGGTAAATATTATTGCCATTTATAAGACCCTGATAATTTTTTGCTGGGTTATTATATAAGTGAAAACTGTAAGCATTAGTCACCTAAAGAGCCAAAGGAAGTGGCGATTTAACTCAGACTTCCAAGCACGAAATTAAAGAATTGTACTTTCTGCAAAATGTCCTCTAGCCTTTACTTTTTCCATGTGAAAAATTGCGCCTAGAGGACGAATGGAATCTTACTTTAAACTCACGCTTAGAACGGCTTTACACGTTTTACAAAGTAATGCAAATCAATTATCACAAAACCCTAGGGGAAATGATTCAATTCAGCAAAATGCTTGTGCTGTTGTTGAATTTTTTCAAAAATGAATACATGCGTAGTTTTGTTTTATTTCAGTGAGTGTAGCGTCAACTATCTGCTAAATTATTTCTTGGGGTCAACAAAGTCGCCGATTTATTGGAGCACGATATGTGCAAACAGGCTTCAAACGCAAGAAAATTAAGCCTCGAACGCACTTATAGTACCGTGAAGAGTAAAGTAATATAACAAAGCGAAAACAAGAGGCGCGACGTGGGAATTTTATAACACACGCAAAGCATCCGAAGACCGAAATAGACACCCAAATGCTGCAGGCGAATGGGAGAAATTGACGAACTAGCAATGCCCCAGGTTGTTAGGAATTTTAGCTTAGTAATGACAACGTTTATTCTGAAATAATTAAGCATGTACTTTTACAGATGTTGTAAATGTGCACATGTGCTACATGTTTGCATGATCAGTGAAGAGCAAGAAGTGGCTTTTCAGCCAGTTTTCATTATTGTATTATTGAAGTAAGGTTCGTTTCGCCACACATATAACTCAATGTAGCACTTTTACTAATGATAGACGGTGGAAGGAATCGTGAATAGCACAACCAGATTAAAGGCTTTTTAAAATTCACTCTACTCCCTTCTAGGCAACTCCTCACAAGCACCGCCGTTTTTGTGACTTCTGAAAAAGTTAGACGAATTTGTCTAGGTATCCCTTCGCATCCGCAGAAAATTTTATTCCACCTGTATGATCAAAATGTAACGGGGTTGTTGGATTCTAGTTACATGCTTGAGAAATTTGCCATCCTTTTGATCGGGTTGGTCGAAATTTCACTGGAATCTGGTAGAAGGCTTCAAATATACCCACATTTATACTTACCTTTAAAGTCTATTAATTCCCGAGTCCAAAACTCGTTGTAAGTCATAAATGGAAAACATCACAAAAACAACTGAAAGATAGTTTAGGAGCTTGGGAAGGAAATGCTATAGATGGGCTAGTTTGGAAATTTAGAAGTCTGGTTAGACACTGCAGACTATGCCATTAGTTTAGCACTTTCCAATACTTTCTGGTAAGATCACTTACCCCAGAGTGATGTGTGACTGCAAAGCAGTGATTTCCACCAGTGTACACACCGATGATCGCGAGATCATCCGAGTTGCCAGAGGAAGAGGGGGAGGATTCATGCGAAAGCCAGGGGCCTTCCAAGAGAAGTTTGGAACTTCGTCAATACTATGCAAATAACTACCAGAGGGCAATATACCTGAGAATAATAGGCAATAATTGTGAATAAACCGACTAGCCAGGCAAAATATTAGACCTCAGACGATGACAGAGAAGGATGGGAACCTATGATTTGCACCACACTGCCAGCTTCTAATTATAGCACGTACCCATGGTTGGGAAAATGGTTAGTTACGGTGAAATAAAATAGCTTCAAGGAGAGAGTGCAGCTCACCCTTGACGACGATGGGCACAAAGGTGCGCTCGCGGTTGAGTAGACCGAGTTGGCCATCGACACCACAGCCAAAAACGAGAAGGCGGGGCTGAGGGGGTGATTTTGAGGGGTTGGTCACGAGGACCAGGGTATGGCGCCGACCGCACCACACTTGAGTACACGTGTCGCCCATCAACTCAAACACCTGCTGAGGTTGACTCGTCGTCACTGCTGAGGAGCCGTGGCCCAACTGACCAAATCTGTGCAGATATGCGTGTGGTGAGCCCACCATCAACGTGATTATAGTTATTATTAAGCATACCATGCTAATGGTATACATTATTACACAGGTTTCATACCGGATGGGAGTAGCTCTAGTCACAAAACAGTTGTGGCCATGAGCCAGTTTACGAAAGCTGTCAAAGGAGTTTGTGGTAAGTCAAGACGCCAAGGCAATAGTGGATCGTCGGGTTAGATAGCATGCCACTTCGCACTCTTTAAGCAACGATGGAGGAACAAACTTCATTTAAAGATTAATAAAGCAAGAACCACTCCTGACTCTACCTTAAAAAAATAATTGATTAACAGGGATCAAAGCAGCTCTAATCGATGGGCTTAGAACGATCAACTATATCCTATAAACCGGTTGGCATACTTTCCAACGCCATTAAAGACAACCCAAAATTTCACTAAATATGGCGTCAATCTTTCCAAGGACTTAAGCAAGATCCATGATCCACCTTGTTGAAAGTTTCATAAAGCCCAGGCGAGGCAAAAAATGCCCCATACTTATGAGTCGGTGATAATAATACAGATCAAAGCAGTTCGTGATGCTTCAGATACATGTAGTAACTTTTCATTAGATCAAAATCCACCCTCATTGAACCTAGGCGTCGTACCGCCAAGGTGCAGGAGCCAAAAACTGGGGGCACAGTCAACTTTGGAAATACCTTGGACAAGAGAAACTGGAACTATTGAACGAGATTGCATTTGCTATTTACTATAGAGCAGAGGATTCCGTTTGGCACGAAAATTGGTGCTGAGAAGATTGTCTCATGATGATACTGAACTACTACTGTCAATAATGACTTAAAGAAGTTCGACCAACCCTTTACATAGCTTCGGAGACTATTTGAAAAAAATTAACAGAATCATCAGTCATCATGAAAGTAGTGACCTCATGTAACTGGATATGGACCAAATTATAACTACACTTATTCAAAACAATCAGACATTACCAATGGAGTTAATCAATAAAGTATACGCTAATAAACAACGAAGCAGGAATCACCTTCCATCGCCAAAAGTAAAGACAGCGCCATCTTTGGTGAGGAGGGCAGAGTGTGTCTCGCCACAGGCGACAAAGGTGACACCACGGCGTTTCATGCTCTTAAGAAGCCGCGGGGTGGGCACGCTGACGACACCTGGTCTGCTTACTGTCTCATTAGCGCTGACCTCCGTGCGAGAGTGTTTGCGCGAGTCTTGCGCCTTGATCTCTGGCTCGTCCAGGCCCAACTGGCCGCGTGAGTTCGAGCCCCAGGCGTAGACAGAGCCACTGGGGGTGACGAGGAGGTTGTGGTTGGCTCCAGCCGCTACCTGACGCACGGGCAGGGCTGAGAGACACTCGACCAGCTGTGGGGTCACCATTGGTCTGGATGAACAGTAACCCAGACCCAACTGTCCCTGGTTGTTCGAGCCCCAGGTATATATCTCCGAGGCCTCTGTTAGTGCTATTGTGTGCTCTAGTCCCAGACTTATCTGTGAAAGGAAAGCACCCCACTCACCACCCGAAATCATCGCGATCATACTCGCTTGTAGAGCAGCACATGCCATCGTAATGCTTTCCATTTGAGTTTTAGTAGAGCTCCGCTTTGTAAACCATGTAGCCAGAAATATTGCAAAACGAGGTCCCTATGCACCGCATATAAATAGAGTCTTAGATCCTACGTTTTACCAAGAAGACTTAATTCGGGCTTCAATTCCTTAATGCGATTCACACATAAGGAAAATATGTCGATATAAAACCGTAGAATTGTGATATTTTAGTTGCATTTCAGGAGGATTAGGAGACCTTCTAGTCAGGCATCCCATAAATCATAGTAGTGGCATTTGTGACGAAATCACAAGCCTGACACCATTACAGCCCATCAAACAACAGCAACATCATACCACCCGCATATGAATCGCTGATCGAAAGTACATAAATGCGCACCATCTGAAGTGAAATTTACACAAGTACTTCAGGAATTTGTGTTATACAGGGTAAAAAATCAGCGTAACACATGACCTTTGTGCAGGGTCAGCGCGACGCAGCAGCCCAATATATGATAACTTAAAATACAAAATTTTTTTGCATATTCAAGCATTAGTGGATGGAATATTGCAAAACTTCACATTATGATTCGTTTCAACTAGTAACGCATTTGCAACATTCAAATATCAGGGCATCGAACCTACCTGTACAATAGAGTCACCATTACGAAGAGCAGCTGGACATAGTACAATGAGGCAGATAACAAGGAAGTAAGTGCAGTGATTTAGTGTGACGCACCTGGACGATGGGACCGTAGTTGAAATCAAGCGGTCGCACGCCAGTGTCGTCAAAGTCCTCCCGACCCAATTGATGGTTTGTGTTGCAGCCCCACATGTAGACGCGACCGGCAGTCGTTATGGCGGCGCTGTGATAGGGTCCTGCGGCGATATCTCTGATCTGCTCCTTAATGCCTGACACCTGACAGAGGCGGAGGGAGGAGAAACATTTTTTGGTTTTGTAACAATGGTGAGTGACAAAGGTAACCATACGAACTGATCATCAATGCTGATTAAAGCGAAACCCGATTACGAATTAGTCTGTTGTCGGTCCACTTGTACGAAAAGTCCGAAAAAAATGTCGAAACAATAAATACCATCCACTGAACTTAAGGTGGAAGATGCTCGACCTAACAGACCATTAAGAATGAACTGCTGTGTTTTAATAAACGTTATTTTTTTTTAAATACCACAATTTTCGCTGTTGTCACAATTTCAACCACCCTCTGGGTTTACGAATAGCCTTTAGAAGCGTTATTTCGTAAAATAATGGATTATTGCCTTATTAATACCGCCTATAGCCTAATACCATCATGGAACGAATATACCATCCCGGGGAGTTTGAACTGTTATCTGATGAACCCAAATACCATGTAAAACTATTCTGACCTCTGACCAAATGATATGATTGGCATATGACAACTTATCACTCCTTCCAAATAAAAAAGAGGGGGTGATATACCATTCCACTCATGATCATCGTGCTTTAATGACTTCCTCAAAAGCTCAATTCCCATTTAACGTTTCTAACAGGTTACATGAGTTATAGATGGTCATCATGTGAAAAGTGTAATGGGACAATAGGTCCCAGGTACTAAAGCTAGAACCTGTTTGATCAAAGGCTCATTAAACTCCAAAAGAGTGATGGGATAGTGGACTGTGATGATCGCCACTTCACCCACGCTTAAGCGTCTCTTGCAGAAAAGAGCGTAGAAGTCAGAGATGTGCGCATAAGGTGGAGTAACATACGCAACAGTCATGGATGACATGAAACAACGGTTGGCCTTTGAATGTAGACTGAAAATAAAAACTGAATGTTCCACAGAGGGTGATAAAATCTTAGCATTCTACGGGTTGTTAACCGACAAGCATGAATTATTTTACGAGTGTGTGCATCAAGTTAAGTGCTATATCACATTAAACAGCACATAGCTTTAGTCAAAAATCGAGTGAAAATGTTTCGCAGTCACAAAGAGATGACATTTAATCAAGCCCAACTGAATGGAATGGAGTTGTATGACATTAGATATCAAGAGGTATTAATGGATATGAAAAAAAGAAAAGTGATAAGATTCAAATGAAAAATTGTGCCAAATGGTATCCTTTAATACCAGACGGAGCGCCATAAAAAGCAGTAGCGAAAGAAGGTTTTTAATTGCGTTTGGGACTCAAAGGAAAATGACTCACTTTATCGAATGCATTAGGCCTACGACAGTGTCCTAGTTGACCAAATTCATTTGAGCCCGAGCTGTACACGAGACCTTCCGAATCCAAAGCGAGGGTGTGCTGGTAGCCGCAGGCCAATTTTACTAGGTGTTTGCTAACACCCATCGGAGGCCAGTTGACGACAGTGGGTCGGTTGACCTGCGCGCAAGGTTCGACACCGGAAACTGGACCTAGCTGGCCATCATCGCTCGATCCCCAACCATATAGGATTGTGGACATCAGGAGGGGAGAAATACAACGTCCAAAAGCACGCTGACGGGTCATAAATTCAATCAAACAATCAGATAAATCCCGTAAGTCTATTGGAGCGTTGATAGGAAATAATGAAGTGGTTTTGAAACCTAGAACGACAGTAATCATGGCACTGCTAATTGCAATTTTCAAATGAAACGGCTTAGAAATCCCTCTTTATTAGAGATGTAAGGGAATTCAAGCTTCAAGCGCGGGATCAAGCCAAGTAAATTTGAGTACTTAGGATCTGTCATGGCGTCCGTAGACCAAAACATGCCTTCAACAAGAAGACAGCAAATTTGCTTCAACAGGAAAACAACTGTGCTGACTATGTAGGACGACAAGCATATGCATATATGCTATTCAAACACAGGTAAAAAGTTGATAACAATGTTGGTGTTGGTGGATTAAGACACAACGACGCAGGTAAACCATCACTCTAGGATTAGGTGGATTAAAACCGATATAATTAAAGTGAACTAACGAACCATATTAAAATAATGCCCATAGAGCACTAGCTTTTGGTTCTTGTCAATATCTGCGAACACGACTTATGCATAAACATGCATGTATCAAATACAAGTTTTCGAGGGACTCAAAATTAACCTGCGGAAATTGATAGTATGCTCTGACCCGATCACGCCAAGAACAAATTAGCCAATCATAGCAATAACGCAATGTATGAAATATTCAGCTGCAATATCAAAAAATGAAGTCAAATTTTTAGAAGTTCTAGAAAATTGAATGCGAAGACAAATGACAATGTGGCATACGAGGAAGGCAAATCAAATCAGAAAATGTATAAAATTAAAAGAGTGTGTGATTTCGAAAATTGAGCTTTGTTAAACTGATAATTAGAAAAACAAAATGCTTAAGTTTGTTAAGTTTAATAGTAACAAGGCTTTGTTTGTGATAATGTAGGCCATTTTAGTGCAGGTTGGACATGTCAATGCAATTCAGCACTTGCCTAGATTCCTTGACCCAATCGCTGATTATTGCTTGGCTTTTAATACCACACTCTTGTTGAAGAGGTGTACTAAGGTATTTTTAAATGCACGCACCAGTCTTTAGTCAAAGGAAGGCAAAAGCGGTGTTACTTATTGTGTTGTTCACCAAAAAAATCAAACTTAGGCACAAATAAGTAATTCGAAGCATTTACATAACTACCTTCTGTTTCTGGAGCTATGGAATCCGTCTTGTTTTGCATCACCATAGCTCAGATCTTACCTGAGAAATTAAACAAAAACAAGCTGCGATTAAAATAGTCCATTTTAACCCTATGTATGACTTTGCTGAATTACTTACTTAGTGTTTTATCATACTTGTGCTGCAGCTTGTTTTAATCTGCGCTGGCCGCTCATGGGGAATTTTGGTTTGCAACACGATGCTATTCCAGCGAAAGGTATGCAGGTTTCGAGTTGATCACAGCTCCTCCCACTTTGTAGGCCATTATAATCGACGCTCGTGGTCATCTACTCGGAAGACTCGCGTCGATTGTTGCTAAAACTCTCCTTCAAGGACAAAGAATAGTTGTTGTTCGCTGTGAGGAGATTAACATTTCTGGCTCGCTTTATCGTAACAAACGTAGGTTACTCTATTGTAATAACGCCTGTTTTAAGTAAAGTATCATGAGTTTCTGCGCAAGCGAATGAACACGAACCCTTCACATGGTCCTTACCACTATCGCGCTCCGGCCAAAATTTTTTGGCGTACCGTCAGGGGAATGTTGCCCCACAAGTTGTACCGAGGAAAGGAAGCCCTATCCAGACTCAAGTGTTTTGAGGGTATCCCTCCTCCTTATGATAAGAAAAAGCGCGTTGTTGTTCCATCCGCTCTCCGCGTTCTCCGCTTGAAACAGCGTAGGAAGGTAATTCAGTTGGTATCCTTTTGACGCCTTCTTTCTAGTTCTGTACTCTCTCCAGGCTTTCTTCTGAGGTCGGATGGAAGTATGAAAATGTGATTAAAAAGATGGAAGCTCGCCGAAAGGCACGAGCTGCTGTTTGGTACAAGAAAAAGAAGTTCGACGCAATTCCCGACCAGGTTGCCCGAGGAAGGGCCCGCGAAGCCATCAAACCCTACAAGGCCATTCTCAAGAAATACGGCTACTAAGTTAAGTGGAATAAATACTGTGGTGTGTATTTTTTACGATTGTTAGGTCGTTCATCCTCTTGGACGGAGTGGGTTTCTCTTACTCTTGCTGTGGGTGGGCTGGAAGTGTTGTTATTCTGGTCCCCCTATAATGGTTGCGGCGTTTCGTCTGCTGCGGCTCCATTACCGTTCGTTGCCTTGACCCCATGATGATTCGCACTTTGCTCTCTGTATTTTTCGGCGTTTTTTTGATAGGCGCGTACTTGGAGTTCTTTTTCCATGCACTTGGACTGCGTCCATTAACTGCCATGCCGACTACTTTATTTAAATGGCTGTGTAGGTTTTGATTGGGATCGATTATCACTTCCGGGTGAGGAGTCTGGTTTCATTGGTTTTCTTATCGGTTATCGGCGTCTCTTCACCCCAGTGTCGCCACAAATTCCATCTCTCGGCGGAATCCCCTGCTATCTGGTTGTAAATAGGTGAAGCTAGTGGCTGTCACGTGGTTTGCCGGTTTGAGAAGTTCGTGTGTAATCCATAACTGCGTGAACAGTCTCAGTTACCGACTTGTCACCGCGGCCAACGCCTGCAAGCCCGCGAGTTGCGTGTCCCATCGTTGGGTGCGGCGGGGGCACGGTTTTTTGAATGTGTAGTCGGCGTTTTCGCTGTCTGCACTTGGATCTTGGTAGAAAAGGGCGAGATGCGTGATACCGACTACGGCTCTTTTCAAATGTGAGCGTTTGGGCGGCATGCTGCTAGCGCCGAATTGAGTGGTGGCGCGCTTGAACTGGATCGGTCGCGTACCGTAAGATCTGCGCGAATCATCCACGTTGACCTTGTAGTCCCTAGATGTCTTTAATCTATAAAGACCGCGAAGGTGTCGATGCTCCCCATTCAATGCCGTGGATAGTTTACTGGTGTCAATGTACCTAAAAGTGCTTCTGGTCGAAACCAGACTCTCGTGGCCGTGATTTGGTTTAGAGAACGCCGTGGGTGTCACGTGTTTTTCCGTAACTGCAAAAGGGCGCATGCCAATTTGAATTGCAATTACTGTTGTACTTTACTTTTGGAGTCTATATGCAGTTATAGTGAACCAAGCTTTCTGAGCCAATTTGTTGAGATTGGCTTCGCAGACATTCAACACAGCGATGCTCGATGAGTCGGTCGAGTCCCATAACCGCCTAATCAGTCGAGAAGTAGGGAGACAAATAATTATCTGCATTTTGAGAGGAGGGGTGGTAAATGGCAAAATTAAAATGACATGGTGAAATGGAAGGCGGGCAGCACGAGGAGATAAGGTAACTTGGATGAGATAAAGACACTCGATACGCGCGTGCACGACGGGGAGGAGGAGTGTGTTAAATGCGAGGACGGTGGAGATTTTGAGGTGTTACGGCGCGGCACCTAGGAGTTGAGATAGAGAGAAGAGGTGGCGGGCGAGGCTCGAGGCGGCGGAGGCGGCTGCACTGGGCCAGGCGTTGTCTGCAGTAGCGAGGAGGGGGGCGGTGGTGGAGGCGCCTGATGCTGCTGCCCCAGTGGGGGTATCAGCCCCGAGGCTACCGCTTGCTCACCTTCATCCTCTGAGCTGGAACCGCTAGAAGTACTTCTATTGTCGACGCCACCCGCCTTGCGGGTGGGCGGCGTGGGTTGCTGCTGCACACTGCCAACGGGATCGAGTTTTTGTGCGCCCCGGAAACTGGAAGTAGCGGTGGGAAGGAAAGGACTCAAGCTGGTGCCACCACCACCGTTGAGATCAATTTTGTCAGTTGTGGAAAGCGTGTTTTCTGTAGCGCTTTCGCATGAACTGCTGCTGCTACTGCTCCCCGAGGACATCACTGTGAATAAGAAAGAATTCAATGCATCATCCAAACTACTAAGCCGCCCATCTTTATTCCTACTTTCTGGTTACTTTTATGCAGTTAAGGTACCTAGTCAGGAATGTATCATTCGAGAACTATCCACCGCCACAAGTACATCTCTAATAGAGAAGCATTAACATAATTCAGCATCCATCCAGAATGTTGTATGCCTTTATTATGTTCTTAATTATATGTATCCTTAGCTATTAAATATATCACACCTGTAAGAAACACTAACAATGGGAGATCCTGCATCTCTTTTCGGTATCTTCAAAAGCCCTCTTCTCATGTGTTTGTTTATTCTCATAACTAGTCCCCTACACCCCATGCTGATCGTCGAATTTAACCTTACAGCTAATGAACTCACTTCTACTCAAATATACGAGTTTCTTGGTAGCCAAAAATGTGAAGTCCCAAGGATGAGTCCAATCTAAAATGCGTCAAGTCGCAGACTAGTTACCAATTTCATTTTGGAAAGTGCCTAGGTACAAAGAGACTAGTTAGTGTAAATCTAACTTGGATCAAATTCTCGTATCGTAAACGGGTTAAACCGTTTTTAGGCTCTGTAAAAAAGGAACACTGGTGTAGATCCATGTTTTGGTGAGCTGGTGAGTCTGATTAAGTTTGGACCTCTGAGTTACTTTATGTTTGTAAGAGGAGGTAAGAAACGCACTTCGCCGCAAGGGTATATCAACAAGGCCGTTATTGGATAGCCTGAATCCATTCTGTCTGGGATGCTGGGGGGCGGGTTTTCCACCCACCGAGTGGAAGACGGAGGAGGGAAGACCGACACCGAAGGGATCGGCTGTACTAACTGGAGCGACCTGCTGTTGCTGCTGCTGGGCAGCTTGTGATGGCTGCGGCTGGGTCGCCATGGCAACTGGCGCACCACTGCCACCTCCGCCAGTGGCAAGACTAGTACTAGCAGTGCTGTGACTCCAGTTTTGCTGCACAGCAGCCAGAGCCCCGATCTCGCTCACACTGTCCACCTCCTCTAGGCTGAGGGCTGAAAAGCCTACAGTGGCAGTTAAGCCTGCTTCTACTGAAATGTAACGAGTAGGACGTGTTGCACATGCGACTTACTTCCGGTGATATCGCCGAAGACATAATAGCATTGCTCGGAGAAGGTTGACTTATTAACTGTGTGGCGAATGAGGCCGAATTTAAGAAGGTTTGCGGCGTATTTCCGGCAGTCACGTCGGTCCGAAAGACCTTCAACATTGCGGAACAGCCAATCAACGAGATCAGAGCCTGAAGGAGATCGAAAAGCATCAGGAATCCATACCATGCATCAACAAAAGTTTGCTCCTGACGAGTGAACTGAAGAACCCACCAATAAAGGCGTTGGGAAGGGTGATTTTCAGCCATACGCGGTCTCGAATGTCAAGACCGGAGTCGGGGTGCATCATGGCCTGGATGACTGTCTTGACGTCAGTCGCCACGGTCAGAGGTTCCGGAGGGAGGCCAAATCTATCCGTCTCGGGCAGGGAACTTGACAGCGTTACCACGCTCTGTGCACCCTGGACAGCCGCCAAAGGGACAGAAGGAACAAATCAGATCTGCAGATATTAATGGATAATCACCGACATTCGTCGAAAAAGCGGGGTATTAGTGATTAGATACAAACCTAAAAGTAGTGAATGAAATGTAATAGAAGTGTTTCGAAACAATGGCTTTGTAGTATTTTAAAGTGAAATTTTCACGACAAGATTCGGTGGCTTGTTACATTAACTTCTACCTTTGACCAACAATCGCAGTACTAAAAGCACTTTTTGCCTCTCATGAAGTTTTTTGCCCATTTCACCAATTTTGCATAGGAGAAATAATCCTTGAAATCAATTGAAACGCTTCTATTACTCTATTTTGCTACCAATAAAGAAGTGGTAATCAGTGGCGCTCAAATTTAACATCCAAATCCCGTAAAAACAGTGTTTCATTTTACCTTCGAAAAGCCTTCAAGAAAAACCATATCAGCTTCTCCGGCAGGACTAAAAGTTGTGGGCACAGTTGGAAAAGCATTCGGGAGGATAGGAAAAAAACCAATCACCCTTATTTGGTGATTCATTTTAGTCGAAGGCAAGTCGCATTTTAAGTTAAATCTTCATAATGTTACATAACGAAAATGAAACTGTATTTAGCAGCCCTACATAACATCCTGCCAAGCAAAATTTACCTGATTAGTGAACCCGGGGAGCATACAAGAAGTAGCCTGTGGTGGCGGCCGAAAGCCAGGAAGAAGGGTCTGCTGCTGTTGGGATGGTTGCTGTTGCTTAAACCGCTGCTGTTGCTGCGCCAGCATAGCGGCGATGCTGAAGCCCTGTGAGGCGGGGCCAGCGGCAGTGGCGGCTGCACGCCGATTGCCGATAGTAGAGACGGAATCCTCGCCTGAGGACGTCGAAGAACCCGACCCCGCGTTCCCGTTGGCACCGCGTGTCGGGTCTCCCAGACCCCTGTCGCCACCGCCGGCCCTAATGGTTCCCGCTACCCCAGCGGTCATGGCATTGGTGTGCAGTACCCAGGCGCGTGGATCGATCGGACGTACCGGCTCCTGTCGCGGGATGGTAAAGTAGCCACCTCGTGGATTCGCATCCCAGCACTTCGCCACCACCAGTGTTATCGGCCTACGTTATATACGCAAATAATTGACATCTATTAGCACTTTATTATATTGGGGCTTTTGATCCTCTGAAAAGGTTTCATCATAGAATCAGTAAGCAAACCGCAAAGTACTGCGCATACGATAGCTATCACCACACAAACGGCAAACCTACTTTCTCAAATGTCTAACCGAACCACAACAGTGCGCTTGAATAACTCAAGATTTGAAGAAAACGGCAGTGAGTGGGTTAAAATATCGCAAGAATATACAAGAAATCGAACACATTCGGTAATGATTTAGCGCCGCACCATCATTCCCATTGTTATCTATTTCCATTCGCGAAGAAACCCTGTTTTGTGCATGATTAATCTTTTATTCCCTATTTCCCAAGTTTTGCAGGCGATCGGCTGAATAAGGTGCATTAAATTTTGGTTACGCAGAGGAAGTAGTCACAAAAACTCAAAACAAAATTCAATACGAAAAAGAGTGGAAGAAAGGAGGCACATCGAAGATTAATTACACTCCGGTGTTAAGGTTAACGATTTGGCCCTTGAGACAAAGGGCTGCAAATGTGCTAGTTTCCAATGAAACAACCAATCCAAGGTGTCAAGAAAATAAACGACTTTCCTAAGCCCGAAACCGGCAAATGATGTGCTGGATGAATTAGTAAAAAGAAACGTTTGAATGACGAATGCAAAGTCAAAGCAAGCCACAATTTCCTCCAGGTTGGCCAAAATATCATCTTAAGTTCTTGCAACAAGATCGCAGCTGAATCAGGAAACACGGTAATTATCTGGTTAAATACTAACTACATTTTTCTTGGGCTGGCACTGTATGACCTTTAGCCACCACCCCAGTTAGAAGTTCTACTTCATGCCGCTAAAAAGAAATTGCCACAAGTTCCAGGGCGTGCTGCAAGCAGTGAGGAAAAATAGAATTAGCAGGAGTGCTTTGAATTGAGAGATTTTTGTTTCAAGGTGAACAAAGGCAGTTATGGCGATTGGGTATGTTATAACATGCTTACCCATTATTAATGCTTTTAATCTGGGAACAACGCGTTGATAATTTGAGTAGATTGTCAATTCTAAAGGCGAATAATTGACTCTTCACTTTTTACAAAGATAATCATCACAAAAGGGATCAAGTCAGAAAACTTGATTGGACTCCAAATAGACAAAACCATCTGTTTGATTTAAGTCTCGTTTGTTGACTTTGTCTATATATTGAAATAACATTTTCCAAGCGTATTTTTAAGAAAGTGGATTGAAATTACAATAAAATTTCTAAGCTGAATTACTAATTGCACTATCACATTGTTCTTAATTGCGCTTTGAAAAAGGGGATCAAAAGTTAAGAAGGGTAGCCAACGGTGTTGAAGAGGACAATATAACCCAAGCTCGCCAAATAGCTAATTATTTAGAAAGAAGAAGCACTTTAGCTAAGCAAATACTGGCTCGTTTTTTCTGTTATGAAGCGTAAAATGCATATCACCATAGTAATTGAGATCACTGCTGCTTTTCGCGCAGATTTTGTAAGCAAGGGAAAGTCAGACACCGTAAACACTGGTTTTGTATAAACAGCGCCATGATTTGAAGTAGGCGAGTATTGAAATACAGGAAACATCCTGATGACAGTACTAATCCACCTTATAGCACTACAAAATTATTTACTTGCTCGCAAAGTGGATACCCATCGAAGTGGGCTGTCTGTCATTGATGAGACAAGCAGGGAAGAACTTCGCCTGACAACCAAAACAACTGAACAGGTGAAAAATGTCAGGAGAGGCAACAGGCACTTGCCCGTACGGATGACTTTTTCTTAATCGAAATCAACATTAGATCCAGTCCACAACAACATGTGAATAGCCACCTTGGAAGAATTTACACCCCACATGCACAGCGCTATGATCTTGAAGATTGACAGTAGAAGTACGTGAGCAGCCACTTTTTTGCATATAGGACAACTGCACAATCTGGAATTGATTCAGTCCAACCGTAATCAATGTTCCCATTTTGAGCAAATGGATTCTGAGGTACAGTCTCGGTACCTGGGAGAAACTTCAATCAACCAACCAATGGGTAGGAGGAGACCTGAATTCTGGCGGCTCTATCGGGTCGATGACACCCACTTAGCCGTCAACGCAGACGAGCTGGCAAGCGGGCAGGAGGAGGAAGTGCCCCAACCTAGATTCACAAATCTCAAGTGTTAGACAAAACTCATGGGGCAATTAATGAGGTTCCGGATGTATAACAACTAGAGAAGAGGAGAGGCCATGGATAGAAGCGGTGTAAACCGAGACGCGAGAACCCCCACAACCAGGTACGGTTGTACAAAGTGAATTTCAGATGTAGAGAGTACTACCATCTGACTACGGTCGTTCAAGTGGGAACTATGAGAGTCAAACTGAAGCAACCAACCCTTTCCCAACCAATAACGCCTCATTCTCGTTTAAAATAATACTGTTGGACCCTAGACAGATATCCTAGTGAAGCGGCTGTATGGCGTGGACTAACAGAAGATTTAAAATACAGCTAAAATAGGAAATTAAAATAGATGCAAAGAGAGAAGAAAAGACGCATTCGTGTTAAAAATAATACTAAAAGATGAGCTTGAAAGGCAGTCTAATTAAAGCTGGATAGGTGTCTTTGACCATCTTGGTAGGGGCTAAAGCCTTGCCTAAATTCTATCTTGGTTTGTCATCAACGATTTAATGCCTTAGTACTAGCATGATTAATTGATGCAGGAAAAGTAATCAGGCTGTGGCCTGACAAGAGGCAGCTTTAGCGCAGAGAGCTGAAAATGTCAACCAAGTTGACACAAAACAGGCCATGGGAACAAAGCCTCGACGAAAATCCGTCTTTTTTACTATATTTAAACTGTACAGAAAAAAATAGCTAACATAGAAGCAACTTTAGAAGGTAGTAAGAGATAGATGTGCGTACAGGTTCAGCTGATATAGCAAAGCAGAATACAAACTCGGGGTCTTGCAGAACTGACCAGTCAAAACAGTAATCTGAAGAGAGTTAATAAATATAAGGATATTAGGTATTCAACACAGTGATTTTAATCTGTAGGAGACCGATTTAAGAAACTATTTGTTCGAACGAGGGAAGAGTACTTAAAAAGAGGTAAGAGAGGTTGCAGACAACCACTCTTCGAGTTTCCAAAGCAGTACATTTATTTTAGCTGAGAAGGATCACGTGATAGCAGAGCAGCTTCTGCTTTAGCATTGAATGAGCAGCAGTAGACGAGGATGAAGCGATTCTTCCCACTCCATTTAGATAACCAGCCTTAGCCTGAGGGTTTGACATTGCCACACGAGATTAATTCCAGCTCGAGATGAGCCGAAAATGGTCAAGTAGGAGGCAATTCTCAACCAGAAGACCAGAAAAAGTGGTAATTTAATTCGTAGAGTTTCAGATTTTAAAATAACGCATTTGGACACAGTTGCCAAGATAAATGGGCTTTTTTACAGATGGGAGCATTACGGGCAACAGTTGCTTGCACTTAGCACCACGACAATCGGCGGGCATGCCCGGGGGGATGCAGAGGGACACTTGGACGAACACAAAGTTGTGCCCCAAAGCAGCAGTGAATCAAAGTGTTCATGACATTCTCCTGACTGATGACTAGACTATAGAAGAAAAAGCGTGGAAAATGACTCATGTGGACTGACTGATTTCCATATAGAGGAGGTACAAATGAAATATATCTTTCAGTGAAAGGCGATAACCACCGTGAAAAAAAGTAGGGATAAAAGAAAATCAGATTAGCATAGAGGCGTATGATGGACAATTATGCCACACGCAAAGGCTGATGGAGATGCGTTGAAAAGAGACAGTCTAACCAAATGGAGAGCTAATTACGCAGGCACATGTACTGGAGAGAAATGGAAGGAATAAGTAACCTAGGCTACAGCTTAATGATGAAAACTCACTATTAGCTACAGAAAAATAAAAGAGTAAAGCATTTAGTGACAAGAGCACAAAGTAGATGGCGAAACAGATTTAGAATTCATACAGCTGCCACCATGATTAACGAGTTATTTTCATTCGCTGAAATTGGAGATGTGTTGGTAGAATACAGAAGTTTACAAGAGCACCTAATTCTCCAAAGCATCCGATATTTTAGTTTACGGATAGCGAGTGAGTAGGTTGGAAGTGTGAGATCAAAACAATCCGAGACGAGTAAGGGAGATGGTACTTAGTCCCTACTGAAGGAAGCAGACACGGAACGGGGTACTATGGAGCAGCAAGGGAGGAAAAAGCGAAGTGCATGGCGTAGGGTTGAGAGACAGATTGCCGTCACGCGCGCGACCTGTGGTCGTGAGGCCAGACATGGACATACACAGGAAAACGAGGGGAAGATGAGTCACTGTGCATGCGACCACTGCGTAGTCACCACCGCGCCAAATTTCTGAAAGAGGGCGGTGCAAACGAAAGTGAAAACTTTTTCGTTCCGGCACTGCCCCAACTCGCTATCACTACATCGAGAGGCCACACACACATGCACATGACAGCTGAAGCTGTGACTTAATCGGGCGAAACTGGGCACACGCAGGCTTTTCATTACTACCCTGTTCTCGGACAACGGTGTAAGCCCACGACGCAGCGCCCCCTGGCAATGATGTTAAACAACGAAACCGTTGACCATAAACAATTCATTGGATTGTTCTGTGAAAACCAGATGTTTCTTGATGCAAGAAAAATACATCACAAAATTGAGACGTGGACAACCCCACTGAGAGCATCATTTTTCTTGCCAGCAGCAAGAGCGTGTGGGTGCGTGCATACAAATGGATGTTTATGCAAGGGCTCAGCTGTTGCTAAGTCATCAGTTGTGAAAGCAATTCGACATGTCAAATTTGGAGAGGGCGGGGGGAGGAGGATAGAATATGAAGCGAGGGGGCGGAGGGAACCATATTCAATCCCCATAACAGACGGGGAAAACAAGCAAGGCGAACAGGAATTTATCGCGCTTGTAATAACCGACTTTACTTGGGAATGTTACGCACAATTTTTAGGAGACCAAGTTTATTTTCCTAAAACAATTACACGAACCATCAACGATATGTGACACTATGGTTAACAATAGCTCGGTAAGTAATGTATCTGTCGCGTTCGTAAGTGACTTAATGGGTAATTCTGACATGAATGGATAGACAGTGAAGAGTAGTGAAGAGTGATTCAAAAAAGCAGGCTGCACGGCTCATGCACGCCCATACACAACTGCGGGCAGAACATAAAAAGAAAGTGAAGAAGAGGAGGGCTGGAATAGGGTTGCTTGATAATGTGAAATCGTAACTCTTCGCAAAGACACTTCGGTTCACCGTAAATTAGCATACCTCGTGGGATGAGGCAGAAGAAACTAATAGAATTTTGCTTTATTGCCTCAGAGGGGTAGACTAAAAGGAAGCATAAATAAGGAGGAAACTCACCCAGGATTCTGAACTTGTTCGCGAAGGGTGCGAACGGCATCGTCATTGCTCATGTCCTCAAAGGAGATGCCATTGACCTCAAGGATCATGTCGCCGGGCTCTATGCGACCGTCCTGTGCAACGGCGCCGCCCTTCATGATGGAACCAACGTAGATGCCGTCGTCGCCCGACTTAGTCGACTGACCCACAATAGAGATTCCCAGGAAGTTCACCGAGTCCATATTCAGTGTTACTGTGATTATATTCAACGACATTGTCGAGTCGGTTATACTGCTGAATGAGGAAGCCTGGGTGTCAGAGAAAGCGAGGACTGTTACAATTCGTTACGATTGATTTAACTCCATTCGAACCTGCTTTGAATCTATTCTGGGTTTTACAGGCTCATATGCGCAATGAATTGGTTCTTACATTATTTCATAATCAGAAAATCCTGTACGAAACGGGGCTAAAAGGGCCCTTACTAATAACCTAGCAAATATCCATCCCATTTAGGGAAGAGGAAATGCGCATGCAATTGAATTCAGCTTCTTTGAGAAAGAGACAACGCGTTTAGCAAATCAGCTTATCTTCACATTCTGAAACTGATAATCATGCGCAAAACATGAAGACAAGTTACTTCATTTATCTAAGGATTTGAGGAAATATGGCTGTTAGGGTTGGATAACGTCAATTCAAAGGGTATAGAACAAAAAAATTTGTTATTTAAGCCAATAACGAATGCCACAATGGTAGAAAAAGTTCCACACCCATAAAAAGAATTCATTTAAGGAATGCCACGATAGAGAGTAACTGGAAGGGAGGGGAGGGAAGCGGAGAATTTAATGAAGCCTAGAAGAGGCAAAACATCGGTGAGCCGGCGTAGGCAAGCTAATGAATAAGTGATGTGTTGATTGAAGCATGGCATGCAAGGGGTAGAAAGGTACCAGACTAAGCTCTTCCTTTTTTGCATCACGTAATAATAACAAGAGGAAGTACCCACAATACATAAGGAGTGAAAAAATAGGGAAAAACATGCTGACAGCCGCATTACGAGGTGAAAGATAAAATTGATAGAAATTTAATTCATGATAAGCCAAATGTGCTGAAGAAACATATTCAAAGAAAAAAGAAGAATGTTAAGTGGTAGAAAAAATACCAGATAAAGTATGCAGACCTTAAGGCAAAATCTGTTACCATGAGATAATAAAAAAATTCACAGAATTGCAAATTCCCAAAACGACCCGATTTTGGCCATACAGAGACCCTCATTCCCCTATTCATAACCAAAGAAGTTTAAAAATGTTTGGTTATCCCTTTAAAAAGCCACTATCAAACGCATACCAACGTGGTATTTAAAATAGCAAAGATGGGGTGAAATTCGGACAAACATATTTAAATGAGACGACTTTCGTACAAAATTGGCGCTGGAACAGTGCGATGACATGATTAAGGCATAAAAGTTTACGCAAAAAGAAACCTAATGCCATCACCAACTGCAAAACGACTCGACCCTGATCAAATCCGTGATGATTACCAAACAACCAAATAAGTTGCTTCAGTTCGACATTACGACG